GTTGAATGCACGTTGCAAAAGAACTGTGGAAGCTCGTCATCAGCACGCGCTCAGCATTCGCGCACACAGCTGTTGCCGCCAGTGAATACTCCCTATTGAGTGGTCCCATTCTTTATATGCTTGCTGATTACACGGACTTTTGCCTCACTTGGCAGCTGTGCATGTCAGCCGCCATACCACACATGTTTCGTTTTTGTTTCCTCCCTTATTCCTATTACCTCACTTCATCATTACCATGGCAGGTCAGGTTATTGACATATTAGATTCTACCGTGTCCTTTTTCCCAGCATTGGCCTTTGCAAAGAGGCTCTTCAACGCTCGTTTCAGTGGCTTGGTATCCCGGTGAGGCAAGAGAAAGTTATCAATGGCGGCTGTAATGGGGGGCTTGTCTAAAGCGTCTATGTATTCAAGGTCACCATAAGTGCAAGCAAACGTTATGTGCAAGCGTGGCCGAAGGCACGAGCGCAGTGGTTTCATGGCCTGCACTAACGTCACACCAGCTGCCATAGGGATGGCCTTGGTACCTTTTGGAGCGTAAACACTATGGGATTTTGCTTTTTGCAACAGGAAGTAGAGTGCGCACGGGTATGGTGCAAGGACGTTTCGTGCAACTGCAAACGATGTGTAGCTCTAATTCTGTCGAACTTGCGTCTTCTTGCCGTTTGAGCTACGCGACGCCAATCGAAGAGCTAAGTTGGATGACCACATTCATGGTTGTCACGGGATCATCATCAACGCCCGCCTTGGTTCACGCACGTACCGAACGTGAAGAACGTGGCATTACTATATAAATATATAATTAAATATAATATGGCCCGAACTCTCACGTTAAGATATACGCGCATGTTTCTTTGCAAACATAAATGGGCCAGAAAATGACCGAGATGTGAAGTGGCCGATAAAAGCCAGGGAAGCCAAACCAGCGCTGTGAGCTAAGGTCACTGGATAAAAGTCACGCTTGGCGTATCTTCCAAGAACCGACAACTGCTATTGGCGAACGCGAGAAGGGCGTTTACCACAAGACCACAAGCCAGAGCCGCACCGCAGTTTCCCTTCGGGGGCTGCTCTATAGACCCTCATTTTAGTGCTGCGCCGCCATTCGCTTCCAAGTGTCGCACGAACTACTGGCTCGTGAATTGGCGTATTCGATGAGTCGATGACTCTTGCGAGACATACAAACACATCAAGGCACCTTACCGAGGGCGTGTGACTCTTCGGTATGTCCCAACTCGAGGTGCGCGAGGTAACGTAGCACGTTCTAGCCGCTAGATTGGCTGCATAGATCGTGGCATCGGCCGCGATCTATGCAGTTGCCACGACATTACCACGTTATGTTTGCGTCGCCTCTCATTGATCCTTTTTTTTTTTTCTGTGTGGTACAGCAGACAGAAATCTCACACAGAGTGTTCTCCGGCAATACGGCAAAACTTATCTCTGCGGTGTCAAGCAGAGGACTCGTACCACGAGTCGCCATACGTGCGTGCTCGTGAAAACAGCAACAACAACAGATGCTCTGTCTTGGGGCATTTGGTACTGGTGACGCAATCCCGTTAAACTCATTGACAATATATCTAGCGTCAACGACCCTGTCAAATGTATTTACACAAATACGCCAATAAAACGATTTTTAGGCTTCCCGTAAGGGTCTTAAAATTAATATAGAAGACGGCTCTAGTACGTTCTACCATTCGTTTTATCACTTTTGTCATTTAAGTAATTTCAATGTCAAAATTGCCTCGAAATGCACTAAGAACAGTCAAAATGGTCATATATTTCTTTATTTTATTAAAAATCTTCAGCGCTCTCTCGGGCAAATACAAGGGTCGTAGACTTCCATTACATCTTCCTAATGAATATTTAAAAATATCAATACTCTGGTGCATTCCTAAAACGCAAGTTTGTGTAGCGACATTTGCCCATTGGGTGACGAGTGCGGTGAATCCCCCTTAACGCCGCCGGGCGATCGTCCGCTTGTTTCGGAGGGGTGCCACCTCGACGACCGTTGTTTCAACATACGAGACCGCGCGGCGGAGGATTCGGAATCTTTGTCGCGGTTGCGGAGTCCGTCATAAATCTATACGATGGAAGACACCAACGAGTTTTGGAGTGCGACGACGGGGGAAGAAATAAAAATAGGGCAGAGGGAAGGGGGGGGGGGGGGGGGGGGGGGCAGGCTTTTGGTTATGTTATAAATTCAGGTTTTTGGGCTTGATATCGATAAGGACTGCAATGGCCCTCTCAGAAAAACCGCAAAAAAGTGCTAGTGCCATTGACGGCTTTTTTTTTTCGTATTTTGTTTTAGGTAAGCATTTTTTTTAAATATAACATTCAATAAAAAGCTTATTTCATCCGGAAATTACAACAAAGCAAAGAAGTTCAAATTCAATGGAAAAACGAACGCCGTTCTCTACTCGAAGCCTGCAGACAAATTAAAATTCCTGTCACACGACTCTGCAGTTTCTCTCCGGGTCTATCTCCACCTTCTCTTAAACACTGCGCGACGAGCGACTGACAACAGCCGAAAATATGTTCGGCTCGACAACGCCATCTGCGCAGATGAGCGGGCAAATATACGGGGCGTCGTTTTCCCTTCTCCTGCGCAGTGTCGTCACGGACGTGATTCATGAAAATAAAACAAAAAGCAACCATCCAAAGACTCTTTCTTGGACAGGCCATCGTCGAATCCATCGCGACCGCGGTTGAGTGAGCCGAGGACCAAGAACGCGTTCGCCATCAACTTAATCCCAGCTCATTGACCTCGCCGGGCTCGGAGACAGTACCGACTGCTTTTGTCGCACACACACCACTTCGGTTAATTGGCGCGGGTCCGTGCCAGCGTAAAATGCCTGTCGTCTTGCACCCTTGCATCAGCTGTCGAATCTATTCAGAATCGTTCTGCCCGTTTCATACTCTCGAACTATCATCGTACAGCCAGTGTAACTTCCATGAAATCGTCCCTCTCCTTACCTGATCTCTCTCTCCGAAGAAAAATATCTCGTCTATGTTTATTTCACAAGATTTATTACTCTAACCCCGCTCTCCGTCAAGCATTGTTTTTAGAACCATCGTACATATCATCACGTGTAGACCATGACCTAAAGGTAGGGATTCCCCATTGTAGCACATCCACTTTTAATGCTTCTTTTCTACCCCAAACCTCCATTGATTGGAATCGCCTTCCCGCACATATAGTCTCAATAACTAACACTGTTTATTTTAAAAATGCTATTACCAACTTTTTAACAGATGATGCGTAGCGCGTGTTTTTGCTGTGTGTGTGTGTGTGTGTGTGTTTTTTGTATTTTTGCCTCGTTCAACTATGTTATTTTTATCTGTCGACCGCCCACTCCCCTCTGTAATGCCTTCGGGCCCTGAGGGAATAATAAATGAAATGAAATGAAATAACATGCTGCCGTGTTGCGACCATTGGGCCTGGTTTGCAATCGAACGGGTATTGCTTTCATAAAGGTTATGCTAACCCTGATAACTGTACGCGATCCGTCGCCGGTGGCTTTACGCACGCATGCAGTGAAAGCTGGTTCAGACATTTCTGCATGAAAGTGATCGACGCTATTACGATTCCTTGCGTTCTATTGCGACGTTCTGCGCAGACCTCTGTTGCCACAGCACTCGTAATCGGTCGTAGCGCGACCTGTCGCACTCTAACGCAAATGTCTAATTCATCCTTCATCGTCTATTGTTCTTGTAGTGCAAAAACGATTAACTAAGAATCCTTGTTACCTCATATTGCTCTACAGAGGTACTACAACACTCTTATGCATGTACAAACGATTGAGAGGCAATATAGAAAGGCAAATGTTTCGTTTGTTTGTATTCGCCTCTGCTGGAAAACCTCAAGCGTTGGTGCACTTTAAATAATTTTAAGTCATATAAAATGGAGCATTCTTAAATCAATTTGTTTTTATACCCGTGGTTCTTTTTTCTATTTATGGGTTCGTGGTAGCACTAAAAATTTCCAGGAACGTTCTTATTACATTCGTTAAGGCACTTATTTAGCCATGCATCCAGAATCAAAACCAGTAAAGAGTTGCTACTGGAATATCGTGTTGTAAGCTACAAAGCTTTTGTTCAAATCATCAAGTTATAAAAAAAGTAATGCTTATAAACAAGAATGTCCTCAAATATGAATTTTTACAGTGGCGACAGAACTAGTTTACCTTGGTTAAGTCTAAACGTATATAAGTAAATGATACAAAAAAAAAAAAAGCAATAATCCCAAACGCATTACAAGATCCTCATACATGAGAAAAGAGCCGAGTGACTCGAACCTTTGAAATAATTTTAAAATAATACGAGGCAAGACGAGGCATTTTGATGGTATGTGCGTAATAGCTTTACACCCTATGACAGAAGAGCTAATAAAAATAACTCGCATGTCTTACATATGCTGCAAGTCCGGAACACGCTTCAAATGTTTCTAAAGCCGCTCGCATAAGCACCGCAATAGTTCTCGGCGGTGCCTGCCCTTGAAATTGTCACGGCAGCTGCCCCATACAGTTCGCACATCGGAAAAGCATGGCCATGGCTATTTATTTTGCTTGCGAGAACTCCTCATATGCGGCCTGCCTTTCACCACGTGACTACGACCACCCCAAAGTTGTTTACTGAACCGGAACGGACGTTCTATTTCTCTCGCCGTCCCCTTTCATCGCGTTGCTTCATCGCCGACAAAATGTGGAACACCATATGGTCTTCTTGAAACTCCCGAAAGAAACCGTATGCCAAGAGCGGACGACATCACCATCGGCTCAAGAGTCTCAATATCAGATGTTTAAACGCTCTGCGCTTTTCTTCTCTTTCTTTCTCTCCGCGTTCGCTTTGCTCGGCGGGAAACAAGCGCACAAGAATGAGAAAGTAAGGCGAAACAAAACAAGCGAAAAAGCGCGGGGTCTTTTCTTGGCGACCACGTCGAGGGAGCAAGCTCACTCGGGGTTCCAAGGTGGTAGCTGTAGGTGGGCGGTATTTTGGAACACCGCGTCACACTCTCTCCCTCTCTCACTAGTGCCAAGCAGAAAAGAAAACGTTTAAGCTCCTCTCCCGTTCCCAGAACTGCAGTCGACCGGCACAGGTCTCGACAACGCGTCAGTCGCGAACCGGTGTCAGAACAGTCAGCATGCTCCCATGGGCACCTCCGTAGGCTCCCCAGAGTAAACAACCGAACGCACCGGTGTCACAAAACCTTCGGGAAAAGATGTCTTCCATCAAACGACACACCCGTGTGCCTAGCGGTGGCGGGCCATCGTTCCTCAGCAGTTCCATCTACACGTCATCTGGAACGTACAACGGCCCGAGTTACCCAGCAGCGTCACCCTTTCTGTCCCGCTCAAGGCCCCATCACCAGAGTAACTCGGACCTGAGGTCCAATCGAAGTCCGACGTTGCCTCGCCGATTCAGGGATTCCAGTTGGAGCTCGACGGAGAACCTCTTCAAGGCCAGTGCATCGGCCTTGTCGTCGACGGCCAACTATGTCCTCTCAAGCCTCGGTGCGGACTACAGCCGTTGCGATTCGCCCGTCCGCCCCTACACGCCGCCGCTTAGCTCTGGGGGAAGGCACAGTCCGATGGGGCCCAGTTACTACAAGTCAGCGCCCGCATCTTCCTGGTACAAGGACTACCGACCCATCATGCGGGAGCGACCGGTGCTCAAGGATTACAGCAGACCGACCAGGAACTCGAAAGAGAGGAGGGAGTCCATGGGCATCATCACGAGGCACAGGCACGTCGTCAAGTTCAAAGAGAACCCGTCTACGCATGAGTCCAGTCCTATCGTGAGCTGGAATCGTCACGATAGGTCTGGTGACAGCACTCGTTCCGTTGACTCTGGAATTGGGAGCTTCAAGGATGGCCACATGGGACACAAGCCGGAAGCGGATGATGTGCATTTTGGACTTGACTCGCCGGATTCCGTTTTGGATTTGAAGAGTGACGTCGTGTCGTCGGTGGCTATGGACGCATTTGTGGAGGAGGATGTGATCGAACCGAGTTCCCGTTCTGTGCCTGAAAACCGCGCTAGTACAAGTCTTCGGGGGGATGGAGCGCACGACGCGGACCTGATCAACCAAGCTGACCTTGCTACTTCGTCAGTACCTGCTGAACCAATCGATAAGTTTCTTCGGTTAGAAGACGATAAGGTTGTGATGCACGATACGAGTATCGCCGGCGATCAGTTGAAAACTGTTGAAGAACCGCCTTCAGGCTGTCTTCCTCCAACAAATAAGATGGTTGATTCGAGCGAAGAAGTTGTAGTTGTTAAGATTAAAAAGCCGAAATTGAAGACGAACCTCGAAAAGTTGAAAATCGGCGCTGCTAAAGACACTCAAGTATTAATCACTCCCTCCCCTTCTTCTGACGTTTTGTCAAGCCCAATCAGTCAGAAGTCTCCAGCCTCTGAACCGACCGGAACACCACCAGTCTGTACGCCTGAGGCAGTAAGCATTCCGACAGCCAATCAACTTCCGGCGGACGCCACAAAAAAGAGAAAAGTGAACAACAAGAAACAGGAGTCACAGGCTAGGCCCCAAGAAGCGGACACCGGTGTGACTTCACCGCGAAGACGTGTACGACCTCCGACCACACCAGTGACTCCTGGAGAAGAAGGCACTCATACAGCGTCAACATTCTTTGGCGCCAAGCTTTTCAGAAAGAGAGAGAGCAAAGAGCCCAAGAGCCCTGTTGAGTCAACGCCTGTCAAGGATACCGTACCGGTTCCTAAAAGCCCTGTTAAGTTAACGCCTGCCAGAGATACCGTACCAGTTCCCAAAAACCTCGCCGCAAAAGCACCTGTCAAAGAGGATGCACGGGAACCTAAGAGCCCTGTTGATAGTGCAGCTTCCAAAGACTTTGCACAGGGACCCGTGAGTCCCGTTGAGACTACACCTGTCAAAGGTGCGTTGCGAGAGAGAAAGAAGGGCATCCAGCGGGAGCCTGACAAACATTTCCAACCCACTGTAAAAGAAAATTACGAATTGATTCAAGTGACGAAAGAAAAAGGCCCCACACAAAACAGTAGTTCTGCTAGCGTGCTAAATGGGGCATCGGATCTACAGAAGTTTGATGTGGCATCTAAACCATCTGTACAGAGAACCTCCAGCGACAGTGTCCTTAATGACGTCGGTATAAAACTGGATATTCAACCTCCTGAAGTCAGAACCTCAGATAAAACTGATAATGATGTTAAACCGGTGAATAAAGTTCACTCGCCTATTGCCGAGGCTCAGACACCGAAATCTGCAGAAGACAAAGAAAAGCAAACGGTACCGATCGTTAAGAAAAAGAAGTCGGTGCAGGGCATGTTAGAGTTCAAGAGAAAAGAACCGCTAGGTCGCATTGAGCTAAAGCGGAAGGAACCACAAGGGAGACTCGAGTTCAAGAGCAAAGAGCCGCAGGGAAGGTTAGAGCTCAAGAAGCGACCGCCTGACACAAAGACCGTTGTCGGCGTACCTCAAGATGTTGCGGAGAAGCACGCTGAAGAGGTTAAAACACAAAAACCGGAGGCCACTCCACCAAGCGCACCAGAGCAGAAGGCGCAAGCGGACACCAAACCGCCATCGAGCCCCACCGTGCAAAGCACCGTTAAGGGAAAACTGGACAAGGTCCTGAAAAAGCTCAAACCTAGTTCAAGGTCGGCACAAACTCCACTTCAGGAGAGTCAAGTGGTCGAACCGAAAAGTCCGGATGTTCAAACGTCGGGCGCTGTTCCGATCAAACCTGCAGAAGCACCGGTCAAACCTGTAAAGAAAGTGAAGAAGATAAAGAAGGTGTCTAAGGCTAAGATAAAAAGCTTGGCTTCAGGCAGTGCGACGAAAGCACCGGAATCGGCGACAGCCCAGACTGATACATCCCTCGCTACTGAGCCCGCGTTGCCACCACAAACTGCTGATGTGGAGACCGCTCCAGTGCCCGCACAGATCAGTCAAGCGACGACAAACGAGGATGGCATTACTGAACACGCAAATGTCGAATGCGGTAAGCTGAGGTCATTTCCTTGCTTCCCTCCAAACTCATTTGGCTCGTTTAAGAAGCCACGATAAACGTTTCAGTGAAAGTTTTTGTCTTTTTTTTTTTTTATCTGACACACAATGGGTATAGGCGCCTCAAACGTTTAGAGGACCCAGGCTAAACGAGACTTGTGCCTATCTCAAATACTCTACTCAAGATACTGTATATCAAAGACGTTTTGAAGTATCTTGGTATCTTGCAAACACTTTTGACCGAGAGTATTTGACACTGTATTTTAATTGCATTTCTGAGTATCTTGTACTCATTATCTCAAATACATTTTTGACAGTTGCGCAATTTTCTGAGTTGTTCAGTATGAAGTGGCGTGGGCGTGGCACGAGCAAACTTGAACATTCTTTCAAGCCACCAAATCCTGTTGCTAGCTGCGATAAACTCCGGTGACATCGATTAAGCTCGTGAAAACATTGCTTTTGTGCCGATTGTGACTTATGTTTCTCCGCTCGTACGACGAAGGTTTTTCCCCTCGCCTTCCTATAGGCGCTTTTCCCCCTAGAGGTTCCCCCAAAAAATTGTCAAACAAAAGGTGGGGTTTTACAGAAGCAATGATTGCCATACTCAGGCGCAACGCAGAACAGGAAACGACGCACGAAAACAATGCAGACTTCACAGTCAAGAAAATAACAAATAGAAGAAAAGAAAAAGTAAACACAAAAAGATTATTTTTTTGCATATCGTATATTTCATTTTGCTACGTCAAAACGTCGAGGTTTCTTTTGTTTTTGTCGTCAGCCTACACTTATTGCCCTCGTGGACACTGTCTGCAAGCGAACATTGATAAGCATAGAACGAGGACAGGAAACCAACTACGCCCAGGATGACCTCTCAAAATGCCAACAAAGCGTCTCCCAACGTTGAATGCCTTCCTGAACGCAACCTACTTGAAGAAGGCGCGTCCAGTGCCGTGGCTATCATGTCTCTCTTTGTTATTCATTCACTCATTTCCATATCCCAACTTTGTTTATAGTGAACTCCCCGCATAGGGAATATGGATTGTAGTTACGCGATGCATCTAAGGTTCGCTGCAGGACCTGATATTCAGCTATGTCACTGTTCGCAACTTTCAGCGATGGTGGTACCGCGGTGTGCGTTTCGCGCTCCCTAGCTCCTAGATGATAGGCTTCGCAAGAAAGGTGCTTGCCTACGCCTTCCTGGCTAGAAAAATAAAGTAAGGCTCTAATATACTGCTCGTATAAAGCAAAACTAGAATTAATTACGCGTCGCAGGCCCCGCCTCTTACTGCTGTTCTACGACGATTATCCAGATGACAGGTATTTTTTTAGGTACCAGCGCACCCCTTATAGGTGGTAAAAGTTGCGAATAGCTGAAGCGACCTCATTTTTGTTTTGCACCAGAAATGTTTGGTAACATATATCGGTGATCTTCTGCTTCTTATGGTTGTACTGCATAAAATAGCCCTGCAATGTTTTTTTTCTTTGTGTTGTTATAATTGTGTTTGTCACACTGACGTCGATGCAAATTACGCAATGCGGAAGCATCTTTAAAAGTAATTGAATTACATTTCTAAGTATTCGTACTCTACTCAAGATACTTCACAGTGAAAGTAATTTGAGTAGTATTTTAAATACGTTATGAAGCAGGTACTCAGTAACTTAACTTAAATACTTTTATCCGGTATTTTGTCTAACACTGGGCTAAACTAAGCATGACGGATCGTGGCACTATGACATAATGGAGGATGTAACGATACTTTGCAATGGGAACCAGGAAAACTATGCTTTTGAGTTTCAAGCTTCGTATAACAAACATACCTCATAAAACTGACAGAAACTGAATATTTTTGTTTTATTTTTGCTTCGAGTTTAGGACGACGAAACCTTGAGTATTGTTGCTATTTCGTTCGTAGAACGTCAAGATAATTAATTTTTTTGACAAGGTTTGACAACGTACGGGTTAAAAATAAGGTGCTTATAAGTTGTTAGTCTGACGCGTGGTGATAAAACCCAAACTGAATGACAAAAAAACAATACCTTTTCAACGCGTTAACTTTATCCTCTCTGTTCACCAATACACTCGTAAACTCCTAACCTAAAATCGAGTTTCTCTTGACCTTAAAAACACCACACTGCAGGATCTCAGCACCTCGATACCTCGTCCAACTTGTTACACGCTCAACTGGGGCCCTCATCTACACCGCAAGACTAAGGGCGGGACCAAGGTACCAAGGGACATCGCAGCCTGCTGCGATTGGTAAACTGTGTGGAGTTGACCAATCGCAGCAGATGGCGATGTCCTGGTACCGCTTGGTCCCGCCGTGAGGATTATAGGGCCACCGGTCTCAACAGAGGACCGTGGTACACGTCCCAAATAAAGTCATCCGGCCTCCTCCGTGGGCTTAGCTGTACCAGATACATAACAACCGCCTATACAACAGTCCATCTTCAAAAGTGCGCGCCATGAGCCAATTGTTCGAATCCGCCATAGTTGGGGCACGCATATTGAGCCTGCAATAAACAAGAAGGTTGCCTCAACGCTCGGCATGAGCTCGGCTGAGCTCGTATCGGAAACGAGGATTGCGTCAGCTCTCGGTGAGGACTCGAATCCAATGGGAGGTTTCGTGCCCGAGAAATGCGTGGCGTCCGCCAGGGTTGCCCGATGGAATCTAGAAAAGGACATGTACAACATCTAGTCTTACCAGAGAGTCTAGCCGGAGTGACCTACGAAAGATGCCAACCGCTCGGGGCCAATACGCTAGCGGGTATAAGTTCATGGACCACCGCAGAGCGTTTCGTTTTTCGTCGGTTACGTAAAACGTTCGGAATTTTGTGCCCCGGTGTAGAAAGAGGGAGCCTCGCTGTTGACATGCTTCGGCTGCTTGGAACTGTTCCCGGCGCTCGTGGCACTGCGTTCGGTTTATTTTCTGTTTCCTCTCGCGAATTCCCGGAGAGGCCTTCGGTGAATTTGAACCTTCCCCCCTCCCCCTCCTTTGTCCTTTCTCATTCGACCCGTTCGACGTGACGTAGGACCCAGCACGGTCGAAGCCTTTGGTCACGTCGTAAAAACTCGCCGCCGTTATTCTGGGTGCGTGGAGGAAGCGAGCGCGCCGCCCACACCGGACGAGGAGAAAAGCGTTTGCATCGGCTTCGCAACGGCGCGAAAACAGGAAGAGATAGACGGGGGGGAGCTTGCACAAACAAACGCCCGCTTACTGTGACAGTCGGTGGCGGCGGCGGCGGCAACGGCGCGGTCGTCATCGGTATACGCAGGGCAACGGGATTTGGAAACGTGAAGGCCGTTGTTCTTCGTTGTAGCGGTTGGATTTGAGTGAGCTGATTGGATTTGAGTGAGAGGATAGTGGGTAGACATCAATGCTAGATGCCTCCAGGTCTACCCACTATTTTTTTTTTTTTTGCAATCAGCCAATGAGAGCTCGGCGTTCGGACATCATCGCAGCCCCTGTAAAAGAAGCAGACGGAGTTGCGCTCCGCATAGCCACGCGGGGCGTTTCGAATCCCGGACATGACGTCACCACTCGGCAGCCAATCAGATCGCGACATTAGCGGATAAGAACGCCGAAGAACGAACCATGATAGTCTCGAAGCCCCGTGTTTCTGAAGCTGTCAAGGACATGTAATAGTTAACAACCTAAGACACTTTTTGCTTCGCGACCTGTTCCTCGTCGTTCTTAGTGGCCAATGCCGCAGTCCGATTGACTGCGGACGAATAATAAGACGCTCTTTTCAATCACCACGCTTCGCGTTCCTTAGGCATGTCGGGACCATGTCATCCGCGGATAACAAATTTGAGTTCAGATTACAACTGAGTTGAGGGACCGCGGTCCCATTTTGTGTCCGTCGCTCCGAGCATGCATGTCGGTCCAGATAGGAGCGTGCGGAAGCGTCCCGTCCCAGCTTCGGGGCCTCATTAGTCCTAATGCCCGGTATTCTAAGAAGCATGGTTGCTAAAAATAAAAGAAAAGCCGCTCGAGCCCGTCGGCGAGGTCATAAATTACGCGGGCAAACGGGGGCAGTTCCCAGTGACTGGGTGTCTCTCCCTGCTCCACTTCCTGGTGGCGAAAAAATGGGATGAGGAAGAGAAAAATGCTCACTGAGCCGGGGTCCCGTTTTTGACTCGCGATGCCTTTTAAAAACTGAGAGTAGCGCTTCTCGAACATTAACGTTGAAGCAGATTTTTGTTTTGTTTGCTCTTTTGTTTTATTAGGCCGCACTCACGCTTCTCATACATCGTATAAAAAAAAGACAGTTCGCTGCAGACTTGATATAATGGAAATATTTGCGGACAAAAACATGCCTGCTGGCAGTTGTTGTACGATCTTTGTGACGGTACCATAATAAAAGGTAAAAACACGCCTCTGAGAGTCTGCGCTGATTGTCTTTTGTATGGTGCATTGGCAGTCTGACCTCGGCTTTGAATTTAGATTCTTCACACAGACTGAACGTTCGTACGAATACGGAAGGAACTCAAGGCACGCTCAAAAATCGCCGTCTCAGCGTGAGCAACACAAGTGTGAAGGGAACAAAATGAACAAAGTATAAATCGCGTATTATCGACACATAAGCGAATGAAGAAAGAAGCGCACATTAGAAATGCAACGTCGAATGTAAGCGTACATTTTCGCTAATTTTCTATTATATCCTGTAGTTTTGAGTTCTATCAATATGAATTACAGCTTCAGGTTTTCGTACCATTGCACAGCTAGCCTGCATCCGGGGTAAGCGGTAACTCCCATTCTACGGTTACAAGTTGGTGTACACCGTTAACGCAAATAAACGATCAAAGTCCTTTTGGGACTGTCATTAAATACTACAAGAGTATTAAAAAGTGCTCATTTGGGGGAGGGGGGCAGGAGAATTAACGTAAGAACCAAACTTTGACGTTTGCTAAAATCCTTTCGGAATAGAATGCGAAAAAGCGCAGACGTCGTGTTGGGATAACACTGTTGCACAGTGCACATGTTGCCGCATAAGTTACGCCAGAAGAGTTACCTTTCATAAATACTTACAATGCCTCCCTCTCTGTTGTGCACGAAGACTGCGTGATACCTGGGGTTCTTCAAATCGCATATTCGTCTTTATATCATCTCCTTGGTTTGTGGTTATGTTTGCCAGACAACAATCTATTATGAAATATTCACATGACTAGACCACATCATTCGCGAACAAAAACAATTTAAGCGCAGCCGTTTCTTCCCAGAGCCTCGGATATACGCTTTTTTTTTTTTGCGTCAGACATTTTAAAACAAACTTGCGGGGATATTTGAATTGCCTGCCGAGCAAGAAGATCGGCAACTATAAAACAATCTTTATTAACCCTTTTGTCGAATGTAGGTTATACACCTCCAGCTGAGCTCAATATCATAATATCAATTGTGTAGAATCAGGGAGAAAAAGGAACTTGAGTGTGAACGCAATTTTTGATCTGCCTTATCTCTCGTTGGATTCGATGTCTATGGGAATATCTCAAGATAGCAAACTCACGAGCAAATGATCTGATGAAGAGAAAATTTTATTTATTGCAAAAAAAAATCTAAGCTTTCTTTAACAACATTTCTTTTAAATTTTCCATGTTTCGATTTGAGTCACTCAACGATCAGTACTCAATAGACTAATTTTTTTGTTTTGTTTCCCCTTTGAAAGACAAGTTCATATTTTTGTTTGAGTAAACTAAAATTAGATGGGATAGGTGTGTTCATTTTAAAATGTTGTTATCCGGAAAGTGCTCGTGAATCGCTTAGGGTACAGTGCGATTCGCTTCACGTAGTGAAAAAGTATGGATGTCTTTATTGGGCCTGTCGGATTTTTCACTTTTCACCTTGCAATTTGCAGTCCTAGACCTTGTTATAAGCGGCTATTCGGTTGAGTATAAACATGAGACGAATATTGTATTACACTATCAGATCATACATTTGTATTGCTTTCAATTAAATAAAAATTGTTATATAATATTTGTGAACGTCATAGCTCAGACTTAATGTGGGATTTTTTGGCTGTGCTGTGTCGAGTGTCATATAAAAATTAAACTTATTTTACAATTTATTTTCAATGATCAAGTTAGGGTGTTGTACGCGGCAAAGACAGGCTCAGAGCAGGATCAGGGGCCTGCTGAAGGTACAGATTATTAAATTGAAAGGTCTTAGTAACTTTCCTCGAAGCATTGACGAATATTCTACTTTTTCTTAAATTTTTTTTTGTTTTTGTTTTCTTTCATTGCTTCTAGAATGCAAGGTCAACTGCCACAAAAAATGCGAAAAGCACATGGCAAACCTCTGTGGGGTCAACCAGAAGCTTCTCTCGGAAGTTCTCGCCACAGTCAAAAAAGGTGAGACGCATTCACGCGCGAGTCCCTTGTTCAAACAAAAACGTGATAATCTTCCACTATAGAACGACCACAAAGTCGTCAGCCTCGAACCAGTGCTTCGACGCTCTTAACTAAAAAGGAAAACACATAGACACGCAAAAGTATAAAATCCAGCGGCAATCTTAGTTTTGAGCAATCGCTGGTGTCGTTCCCTTGCCTGCGGACATCTCGTCACAAAGAGGCCCAAGAATTTCAACTATGCAAACTTGAATCAACGGATCATTTCAAAAGGCACTGTGTTTGGTGCAGCCACAATGAAAAAATTATCTGCTACTCAAGCATATCCGAAGCAAGTTATGTATGCTTCGAACACTTCTGCAGGCAGTTTTTGTATGGCCAGTACGGAGCACAAGTTCGTCTGCTTCTTTTTGCAGGGATTCTGGTGACGTGAGGACGCTGAGCTGTGATTGGCTGAGATTGGAAGGATAGTGGGTAGACCTCAAAGCAAGCTGCCTTGAGGTCTACCCACTATCCTTCCAATCGGAGCCAATCAGAGCTACTAGGCGTTCTGACGTCACCACAACCCCTGCAGAAAGAAGCAGACGAACTTGCGCTATGAGGGGACCGTCATACGAGGAAGAAACACGCTTCCGACACTGTCTGCAGGCTGTATTTTGTATGATGTATTCGTAATGTAACCACGTGACTTCAAGCTCGGGGTTAGCTGACCTATAGCTATATGACGTCGCCATCTTTTTTTGCCATCAAACATTTCAAGTTTAGGCTCGGATAAAAAAAGACTCAAGTCGTCCCGCATCGCGGCACGCTCCTGCACGCTCCTGACTCCTGACTTCTAAAGAAAAAATTTCAAAAAAAAAAAAAAGGAAGCTTGGTTTGTTTTCTGGGTTGCTTAACTGAGTGTTGCCGCGGTCCTTACCAGAAAGTAATGTCGTGGCGGTGCGTGTAGTTTTGGGTGACGAGCGAAGACGCGTCCTCCCAGAATAGACCCCCGAAGAATTCCTGAACCTCGCGGCGCACTTTGCTCAATGTTTCTAATGGCCTCTTGTAGCCCATTTGTCCCGGATTAGGAAGGTCCGACAGCCGAAGCGAAACCGCTGTTCGTTTTTAATCTGTTTTTGCATGTACCTACTTCTTTTTTTTTTCTTTCCTTGTCTACAAACAACGGCGGTGTTTGTGCTGGCGTAGGGGTAGGGCTCCTTTTGCATCTCCCTTGTTTCATTGTTTTTTTTTTGCTTTTTTTTCGAAGGCATAACTGAAGACAAACGACGGCTTCGGACCGTAATCGCCATGTAACCCCTTTCGTAAGCTTTCTCATCTATTACACGGTTTGTAGCGAGATATCTTAGAGCAAGCAGGAGAGTCGCGGTGTTCTGCTCCGCTGTAGGATGCTGGTCCTCCTTCGTGGCAGTGAGAAGGACGTACGATCAAGATTTACACCGTGTGCGCAAAGAGAAAAACTACGACGATCACCATGCCCCTTTACAACTGTAACACGAAATTGAAAAAAAAAAAAATCCTTTGAACAACATTTTAGCGCACCTGGAAGGCAACACACTGCATTCTAAAGAAAACATCTGCGACTTCACTTTGCTGTACAACAAAGAGACAGCCGTGCACGGCGAACAATAGCTGGATCTCGACAAATTACGAAGCTCAAAATGCGATTAGATCAGAAAATTCCGTTGTGGGCAGGGGATAATCAGAGAGGGCAACACCGTAGTCATTGTTCCTGTCCACTTCGCTTTTTTTTTCACACCTAGTAGTCTTTCGTTGTCTTGTGTTCTGCAAAAGGTGAACTCACACACCTTTTTTAGTCTGTGATGCTGACTAAACGTCGACTCGAAGCCGGCCTACTTAGAGCACGTTGCGCCCTCCGCTGAATTTCTTTGGTAACGCGTTATAAAGGTGGTCCTCGCGCACAGCGGCCCCGTATGGTATATGGCTAGAGAATGACCGGTAGTGTACACACGGCAGCTACCGATGAACTAAATACAAAGAGCACAGACAATCTAGTTAGAGAATTGAGGCTCGTGGGACACGTTGTTAATTTCAGACTAAAATAAAAAATAGAAAACTATATGTAAGTTAGTTTTTTTTTACTTTATTAATTACTGAGGCTTTGAAGAATATGTATTTAGACAGCACAGCTGGTTAAAGACGGACATACGGACCTCAATCACACAGCCAGCGTAAAGGCACCTTAAAGATCTCTTCGAAATCGGCGTATCAGGCCGCGCTTTTGAGTCGCGATCATGTAACATGCGACGCGCGAAGGACCACAAACTTATTCCTACGATCATAAAGGTTCTTTAGCTAAAGATACTTTTATGATCATGTTAATGGGTTATAAAACACGAGACTGAGGGTAAAAACAAGGGCATTTCTCAGGAAGATGTATCGTGCGTGTGCATCTTTTTTTGTCAAAGTATCGGGTCTTAGTATTTCTATTGAGACATCCTCGCTATGCCTTTGTCTTGTATGAGGTCTCACTATTAAATCATCATGTATTGTTCTGATTTAGTCAGAAAAACTGGCGTTATAAGAGAAGTTGTCTCGTATCCTGCAGTCCTAAAAGAATGCAAATAGGGATGGCTAAACCAAAATTCACAGGGAGGATGACACAAAGTATCCCTAACAAACCGGACATCGCAGGAGATAACGGCTTTGTTTCCACCTAACATAGCTGGAGGTTTCCTCGTTTTAGTGTTTTGGTAGATTTATCCCCGCAATACATTATTTTGTAGTTTCGAGTATACTATAAATGGTTCCCGTGTATTGTTTTTATTTTAGGAAAAAATAGATCGGATGCAAGGCACATGGTCACATATTAAGGGGGTCATTCGCCGATTTGTTGGAAGGCGAAGTAAAAGAATGGTGATAATAGGAAGGAGATGGTGGGAAGGGGGGAGGACGATCAATATTTTGAGGCGCTTAGATTAACTGGCTGCCTAGCATTAACATCAAATACCTGGCAAGGTGTGCATACAGGCACTAGTCAATTTGGAGGGGCTATAGCCTGCTGGAACGTAAGATTAGCAATAGATCCCCTCCTCCAGGGGGAACTTTCTACCTTTGGTCACACTTCTGAGCGCGCGAAATCAAACACGCCGAATGGCAACGGGCTCGTGCTAGAGGTGGAGCATCTACTGATAATCTTACGTTCTAACAGACTATAACCACCCAAGCAGCACAGATTTTGTCCAAGCAACGGCCAATGTCTGGCGATGGTCTTTTGGCCAGTGGCCAGAGAGTGGCCACTCATTGGCCAATGCTTGGCCGATGGCTGATGGACAGTGGCCATTGGCCAATGGCCAGATAAAGGCCAGTCACCGGCCGGTCTCTGGCCACTGTCCGGCCACTTGGCCAAGGACCATTGCCAGCCATTGGCCGATGACTGGCCAACTCTGTGCTGATAGGGCAGGCTCTCTACAAGAATTCACGACTCATCACTACGCATAATCGTCGATATGCTCAGTAAATGGGGCGGATCGTGTAGCTTTCCGGATAACCACGCGGAGCGATTATCTGTCCACAGAGCCGCGCACAGGGAACTCAGCGTCCCGTTGTGCGCAGATCTTGCGGCCTCCCCGCAGTCCACGGTGTCGAACAAGGCCAGGACGCCGTCGGCCGCCTCCCAGGAAGCGCTGCCCGACGTCGTGCCCCCCTCCGCGCCGCGGAGGTCTTCCACGACGTCCGACTTGGCGGACTCGAGCGAGAAGGCGGCCCGCGAGAACTCCTGGGAGGCCCGCACGGGCTCGGTCGACGGGTCGACCACCAAGGGACCGGAGGAACCGACCGCCCCGACGTCATCGCCGCGGCCCCCGCTGCCGGGGGCGCGGTCGGCGCCCCAGACGCCCTCGCAGGAGGACCGCGTGAAGTTCCGAAAGTACACGCTCACGGACTTCCACCTGCTCAAGGTCCTCGGCAAGGGGAGCTTCGGAAAGGTCAGCTCACCTGCGCCCTACCAGACGATGAGGACAAGGGAACTAACCGTGACTTATAGGCGTCCCATTCAAACATCTCGTCGATTTCCTTTCCCAAAAGCTCGGTAATAATAGGGTGCTTACAACGCGTTTCCCACTCATCTGTTTACCACGTCCGTATTTGCGGTCCCTCGATTTTCTCCTAATGACGTCATCCAAATGTAAAGCCACAGTCACATTTTCTTCGAACTTCATGTATATGTAGGCCTCGAACATGTCTGCAGGCAGTTTTTGTACGACTAATGTGCCAGGAATGTCACACGAGGAAGAAACACGCACTTGACATTGTCCGCTGACTGTCTTTGTACGATGTATTATAAATAAAAAACTGCAGCGAAATATTTTGGAAAGTGCGCGACCACTCTAACCTATGGTCTTCAACGTCCAGCACTCAAGGTGGCTGCAAAAACGGACGCCGACGTAACGGCCATTGAACAATCAATGTCTCCTCTCTGATCTCGTCATTATTTCAAGCACCCAGTTTCAGCACATCTTTTAAGGAGCGGTGCAACGATATTCAATTGGAATGTTTTTTTCCTTCACACGAGCTTACTGGCACACCTGGGACTCAAGGATACTCGCATGCAACGCCACTGGCCAAGAAACTTCTCCGCTGCGGTGTAATTTCAAGCACAAAAGCGATCATTTTTATTCAATCTCTCCTTTGCAAAATGTGATGACGTAACGTGGGAATCGCAGTACACTCCAATGACGATATTTGAATGCGGTTCATAGATTGGACCCGAGCATTGCATGGGCACTCGATTTGGGCTCATGCTAATTACTAGCTCGAGAAGCATTCGGGTAGTAGCCCGTGTCCAATCGCTGCAACGACGACAGTAACCGAGCCATAACAATGCCTGGAACTAAGCGCGTGTCCTGTGCCTTGCCAACATTGGCGGCGTATAATCGGCTCCAGATCACGTGGCCTCTTGTTCTGGCTGCGAGTTGAGGGGGTGAACGCTGCTCGTTTTTCTTTAATTTTTTTCGGGGACTTCTATTGCGTGGGGTGAAAAATGAACGCGTGTTTTATAGGTCATTGACGTCAGGGATCCGTTGTTAACGGTATTTGCGCAAAGAACAAAAATTGTTGCATCGACCCTTTAACTGCCATTCCTTTACCTGACAATACACCAACGCACGGCTCCATGGCATCACGGCGTTACGATGACGCCGTTGTCCGTGCGGGGCATGCGTAAGACGCTCCATTTTATGCCGATTCTCACTTCCGCGCATGCGCAGTGCCCACATCTGGCGTGGGCAAGCGTGAGCTTGTTGGTAAACAGCGTGTTGGAGTGTATATGTGCTGTCCCGCCGAACGCGCGGGTGCAGGTCCTCTTGGCGGAGCTGAAGGGTTCCCGGCGCCACTACGCCGTCAAGTGCCTGAAGAAGGACGTGGTCTTGGAGGACGACGACGTGGAGTGCACCCTCATCGAACGCCGGGTGCTGGCCATGGGCACGCAGCACCCGTTCCTCTGCAACCTCTTCTGCACCTTCCAGTCGCAGGTAAGACAGAAAACACGCGCGGTGGTTCGCCAGGGCTTGCGGCAGACGTGTGCACTACACGGCGTAGTGTTCTACGAGAGTGTACACACTGGCACGTGTGTGCCATGTACGAGACGTCCTTAGAACTTTCTTTATTTCTCTGGAGTGAAATTTTTGCTGAATTTGTGTGATCAAACTCATATTGTCAAAAGATTGTCGAGCCAAGATATGAAACGATAACGCCAGAAACAAATATATGGAATTGCCAAGTCTTGTACGGCTAGCCGATAGATGACTCCAGTGTGCCGTACGAGCCGTGCTTAACACTCGCTGATTTACCTATCCTCACAGCGCGTTTGATTGACTCTTAATAAGTTGAATAACGTAGAAGTTTGGGTTAGTTGAGTGGCGGGTATTTCAAGATTAATAATTAAAACAGCACAAGGACACGGAACAAAAAGGCGAACGAACAAGGCGCTGTTCGTCTACCTTCTTGGTCTTGTCCGTGTCCTTGCGCTGTTTTTATATTTAAGAAGACTGACTCTTACTAAGCGTTCTCGTGTGAGCGGAGTTTTACACGAGCGTCATGCTGGACGGTTACGAGAATAAGAGGGAAAAAAACACAGTACAATGTCGTACGTCTACGCTCAAATTACAAAGCTAACTGACGTGTGTCTGAGGACGTGTCAGGTGCGAAGCAGAGTGCATCCTCTTGTTTTGCGTCGCTAATTGTACTCGCAAAATGACGAGGCAGACGCAGCGTGCAGCAGGCTTTCGCGAAACTGTCATACAGTGGTAGGCTCTGGCTTTATAAAATGTTTTATCGTAACTCGGCTTTTACGTAACAAAAAAAAAAAAAACGATTTCACTTTTTCGATTGCCGGTTCTTATAGACCTTTTCACCCTCTGCCGCATGGGCGCTGCCATCTTGGAATCACGTGATGCGGCCGCCATTAGGTTGCTTCAACTTGTTGCTCCGCTCTCCCGTCCGCGCCTTGGTGGATGCGTTGAATCCGTGTTTTTCGTCGCGTTTCACCGCGTCTCTTGCGCGAAACACATGTACGACGAAACCGTCCGATCCGACGTCCGACCGCGCAATACAACGGTCGGAGGCGAGGGTTTTCAACGCTCTCCGATGCTACGAAAACCCTCTCCCCCCAAGGTCATTCCGGCAGTCCGCACGTCGGATCGGAAGGTTTCGTCGTACAAAGTGTCGTCCGATACTTATACTTACCATGCAATTGCATTACATCATTATGCGTGCAATTTCTGTAGTTGATTTTGTAACACGTTTTGAATATCTTTGTACCGTCGGCGTGCGGGATACGTGTGAAAAGGTTTTATAGGAACAGGAATCAGCGTTAGCACTTGCGCACATTTAATACATATATGACTGGAAGAGAGCCTCGAGGGTTCAAATACCAATAACTTATGAGAACTGAGGTTTGGTTACTAATAAGGGCGGAACATTTGCAATAGGAAGCCCAATGTTATTATATATATGAGTGCGGATTGGTGTCAAGGAAGAAGGTTACTAATAAGGGCGGAACATTTTGAATAGGAATCCCAATGTATTTATGTATATGAGTGCGCATTGATGTCAAGGAAGAAAACAAAAATACTCAGCGTAATTAGCCACGTGTTTTCCCTGAAAACATTGTGTTTTTTATTTCCAACATATCGAAAACAGTTTCTTTTGATTAATCTAGGGAACTAGTAGACAAGGCGCGGGAACAAACATTTAGTTCTAGTTATTTTTAATGCTAGAAATAATGGTACCTTAACATTAGGCAACTTGTTTGTTCGCAATATCACACCTACATCTGTTTTACGTTCTTAATCGCGTGTGTGATGTAAGCATTCGCTTTATCGGTTTATTTATGAATTCCACGGAATAGTATATCGTGCTTGGTCCCGTCTCCATAGTCTTTCAGTTGCCTAAGTCATTTTTTAATATAACCATGCAGTTTCAATTAATTTATTTCAACGCAAATATTTGAACTCCCCGCGTAAGAAACTGTCACAGACAGGTTGATGGTGCCTATGATTCATTAAATTTGACGCCGAAAAGAATCCTTCTGCATGAAAATCACCCGAGTGCAGCCGGTTGTCGACTTCGAATACGGAGTTACTTTCAGTAAATGGCGACGTCAAAATGTGCAAAGCGCATCGTCTCAAATCAGTGAACAGCTTTCTACAAAGGTCCATTGGGTGGCGCCTGGCGTTCGACTTCAGCCAAACTTATTGGAGATCATTTCTTTTGCGCTCTTCAATTTCATTCGGCAAATTTTACGGAAGATGACTATCAGACTTTATTTGAAGTCTGGCATTCACTTATCTCACCATCCTCATACCTTGAGAACGTCGTAAGCAAATGTCCATATAACAAAAAGTTTATTTAATAAGGCCAATATTTTGAAATGCTGTAAATGAGTTCTTTAGTTAAAGAAATTTTCTAGTCAGCCTAGGGTGGTCTATCAAAATATTTCTCGAGCGCTTAATTTCTTTAAATAAAACAGGCCGAGACAATATCACTTTTTTATATTATCTACGTGATTGTATTAAACTTTTCTAGTCATTATAAAAGACGTCTCCAGTGTCGAAGTTAGAAAAGGTTGGTGTATGGAAACCAAACATCGAACAGTAAACTTGTCAGTTCATCTGTTCTTGGTGATTCAGCAGATTGGTAATTTTGTTGTCGACCTGCTTTTTCACTAAACACTCATGCAATATAGTCTACTCTATTGCAATATAAGATTATCTGTTTAATATCTGACTTGAGCGTGAGCTATCTACCTTCCGTATCGCTCGGTGCACGCACAGCCAAAGCACGGCGGCAGGCAACGAGCGCACGCTGCAAGCGGAGCTTGTCGTGCTCTTTATTTTTTTTTTTCTTCTTGAAATTAGTGTCCGCGGGTACGGCCGTGGACAATGGTACTCCTCCCTATGCATCAGCGCAGTTGTTTCACCGCCAAACCTGGCCGAAATTAATGATGGACGGAATCAGACGCATATAGTGTTAGTAAAAAAAGATCGCAGTTTAAGCTGGAGACCACTTTGTGGTTTGCCAAGTGGCTCAATACTATTGTTTCATTGGCTGTGTGCTACTAGAAAGAAATTCATATCGCAAAATTAATCGAAAGTGGCATGAAACAGCATCACAATCGCGTGTACGTTGAAACCGAAACCGGCCAAATTGAAGCAACCTAATGGCGCCGAGTGCGCCAGCGCCCTCTACCCGCCGGTCAGGCAACTACTGGAATGAAAAGGTCTATACAAAATGCAGGAGATAGACAGTGAAAGTAGCAGGTACTTAAAAAACAACCACGTGGAAAATTTCGCAGACAAGTCCCAGGAGCGTCTCTTTTGTTTTGCCATATATGCATAAGGAATGCCGTCTCCTTTCCAGCATAGCAATATGGAAATCCAATTTGGAGCGCAAGTTCGTCTGCATCTTTTGCAGGGGTTATGGTGACGTCAGAACGCCGAACTCTCATTGGATCTAATTGAAGAATAGTAGGTAGACTTCAAAGCAAGCTACATTGAGGTCTACCCACTATCCTTCAATCAGAGCCAATCAAAGCTCGGCGCCTTTCTGACGTCACCACAAACTCTTAAAAAGAAGCAGACGAACTTGCGATCTGCATTGCTTCAATCGACGGGGGAAGCTCGGAGAAAATGAGTCTAAAAATAGGTCTGATACTGAATATGACCTCTGAAAATGCGAATTGTCACAACATAGAAAGCTGTTTTGAGACCAAAACAGATTTTTAGTACTAAAATACTAAGGCGGGATAGTTGGTTGAACATAGTATGAATATAAATTTGTAGCGTTTTGTCTTTATTTTAATTTCCTCGTCTGTCCTTTGCGATTCATATATTTAACACATTTTCAGCGTCGTCAGTCGCCGAGCTAACTTGGTAGACTGCCGCGACTTACTTTCACCAGTGTTTTGCGGGACAGTATGTGCACACGCTCCAGATCTCTTGGAGCGTCACGTGCGTACACGGTGAACTTGCATGACGAAAATAATCCCTGGAGAAGGGGAACAAGGGGGACAATGGACAAACGTAAATCTCCGAACACAGCTAGGTGACTGGTGAGCGACCGAAAAAATCCGCCTGGTCCGGGTATCGAACCCGGGACCTCTCCATTACAAGTGGAGCGCTCTACCAACTGAGCTAACCAGGGGTTAGACGTCAGTAGAGCAAACGGGTTTTATCAGCTGCTACCAGTCTAACACCAACGAGGGTGAAGCTTGCGATTTAAGGTTGTAATTATAATGCAATTAAATGCAAAGGTGCAAGCGAGCTGGACAAGAATGACGAAAATAATCCCTGGAGAAGGGGAACAAGGGGGACAAAGGACAAACATAAATCCGTAATAACACGAGCCCTCGTTTAGCAGAGAAAACTGAAGCTATCTTCTTTTTTTGTTCTTCTTCTTTCTTTCAGAGTCATCTTTTCTTCGTCATGGAGTTCCTGAATGGCGGAGACCTCATGTTCCACATTCAGCAGTCCGGGAGGTTTGATCAGGACAGGGCAAGGTGAGAGGGGCCCGTAGGTTTTCCGCCAAGGCACCGTAACTCTACTGCCAAGTGCATAATGCGCCGGTGCTCTTAATGACAGCTCGATCAATTCGGAGCGTGGCTTAGTATGTTCGCGAATCCTGGTTTGCGATTGGTTCTTTGGCTCTCTTATCGGCTACTCCCGCAATATCATTGGCTGTTGAGCGATAATGATATGCACGGGACTTGCCACGTCCCGCGTTCCTTTAGCTCTCGGTGACTGTGCGGAGAGCTAGTCGTCTGCTGCTTGCACCAAGAGATGCGTTGACGTCAAAACGACGCTGACCTCTGATTGGCTTTGATTGAAAGGATAGTGGGTAGACCTCAATTCCAGTTGCCTTGAGGACTACCAACTAATGAGCGATTCATTAATCAATTAATCGGTTGCGTTGACCTTGGGACAAGATATCTATAATAGTGTCAAAATTACTCGTTTTTTTTCGTTTTTTTATGTCTTAATATGTCATACGTGGAGGCATGTAAATCTTCGTTTAAAACGACGCTGCGACGCCCACAAAAAAAAAACAAGGGTAAACAATTTAACTATAATTTTTATGGCACTTTTTAGACATAATACTCGCTCCGGATTACAATCATAGTGCATGGTAAAATGTTTTACCGTGAAATTCAACAATGCGGCTCTTTAAAATACATTATTGAGCACCAAACAGAAAAAAAACAAAGTTTACAGTTTCTCCGCGATATTTATAGCACAAAAATCAACCTATTAACATTATTTGATTAATCGGGTGGTTATTCTATCGATTCTCCGGCGCTAGAAACAATATCATCATATCAACGAACCGTGTTTTCTGGTGGATCGGCTCGTTCCCGTGATTTTATCTGTTGCACAAGATCCCGCGAGGGCGCGTGCTGGGTACGCGGTCTAATTAACCAATGTATGCGTTTTACTTCAGTTCTGTTGGCTATGGAATTTGTATATCCGTCAGAGTTTGGAAACAATACTTTTAATTTATTACCGGTGCGCGTCTCAAGTTTAGGCCACGGTTCAATAATTCTAAAATCGCTCAATTATGTATAGCATGAAGTAAAAAAAATGTGTATACCTGTAATAAAACCGTTAATGTCCATCAGAAAGTTGACTTAAAGCCATATTCTTCTATTAAAAATGAAAACTTCCAGCCTTTTCACTCTGGTGAAGAAGGAAGAGCGGCAGAGTTGTAGCTTCTATTCTCGGCAGTGGCTTTTCAGGCGAGCGATCTGCTCTTCTTTCGCAAGGGAATTCGAAGCGCTCGACGCAGTGGAACTTTAGGCGATAGCGGCCTCGTGGCGGTTGCGGAACCATTCGCGCTGCTGCGCACATCGCCGCTCGTTCCGTTCCCGCTCTTCTTCCTCCGAAGAAATGCTGCCGCCATCTATGAGCGACGGCAGCAACCAGTTGTCTGGTTACTGAGGCTGGAATGGTTGCTACGATCTATGAGCGACGGCGGCAGACAGACAACCGGCAAACACAACACCCTGGACAGCCGCCGCCATCTATGAGCGACGGCGGCAACCAAAGTGTTGTGTCGACATTTGTTTGGTACCGGACACGATCTTGAGGAAACTAGCCCTTAACCTCTCCGCTGTGAAAAAATAAACACTCAGGCAGTGGCAACCATTTACATATTACATAAAGACCCAGTTTTATCTCTTCCAAGAGCACGCGCATGACAATCAATACTATCAGCTGATTTAGTAAGTCTATAGTTCAATTGTTTAGAGTAGGACACAATATTCGCGTGACCAAGCGTTCAATTTAATTGATTGTGTTTTCTTTCTTTTACTTACATCAACCAGGTTCTACGCAGCTGAAATTGTATGTGCCCTCAAGTTCCTGCATAAAAAAGGCATCGTTTACAGGTGAGCTTTTGATCCCTGACTAGCAGCGAAATGTGTGACGTCGTGCAGCATTTATTGGATGATACCGGTCTTGCGCATTACCGTTAAAAGGACTGGGTTCACCAAGTGATTTAGTGCACCATTTGTGAAACTATATTTGCACCTTTGTTGAGCCTGTAGTTGGTGACTGGCTGACAGTGAAGTGGAAGCTCCTCCCACCTCTTGCCGCTTTAGCAGAACGAATACTGGAGAGGAGGCCGTCTCCACTCACGCGTTCGCTCTACCAAAGTGGAAAGAGGTGGGAAGAGCATCCACTTTATTCTTCACCCGTCAATGACTATAGCTACGTTTTCCTGGCGAGTGTTCAAGCTTTTTAAGCCCCAAATCACGCTCTCGCCTTCGTGACAGGAGAGTTTGGAAGCCAAACAGGGTTATTCTGAGTGATGGCAGCTTTAGCAATAAGCTTCGTGAGTGAGCATATTCTATTTCCATGTATTTTTCCGCACCTGTCGCACGTGATGATGTTCTTTGTTTTTTTAATTGGGTATCTTTATTTTAGTTTGGTTGCTGTACAAAACCGCTCTGGGTGCAAAAATGACACACGAAGTGTTTCGCCGTCAAGTTTCACGTTATAGACGTATCGAGACTTCGCACGCGGCATATGGCAACCGAACACGCTGCTGAGCTTTAACGAAAGAGGGCAGATAAGTTCCTTTCAAGCAACTAAATACCCGATGTCATAGAAACATATTTTTTTAACCTCTTGGTCGATGCAGGCCAGGAAGATCGTGCATGTACAGTGGTTACGTTGCCCGATTGATCTTAAAATTGAGGCATCATCTACTTAACGTTTTATGGATAGGGACGTGAAGAGGAATATCGCGTAGGGTTTCTGGTTCAAGAGGCAGGTTTATGGAAACGCAGTTTTTTTTGTTTTGTTTTTTTGTTTTTTTGTTTAGAGAAAAACATAAGACAATTATGATCTTCGGGGGCTTCCTCAAATCATACATGGCTCGCACGTGACGACCGTACGCCGGTGTTTATTCCTACTTGTTGTTGTCGAGAAACACAAGTTTTGAATGTATGCTGCAGAACGTACGCGCTCAGTAGCAAGTCCGCCAGAATAAATGCTGATGTGACGTCAATGCAAATAATGCCTCCGGTGATTATTCCTGCTTGTTGTTGTCGAGAAAGACAAGTTTTGAATGTATGCTGCAGAACGTATGCGCTCAGCAGCAAGTCTACCAGAACAACAGCTTACGTGACGTCAATGCAAATCATGCCTGCAGTCTCGCCTAGAAATATGGCAGAAACCGCGGATGTGCTCCTAGGCTAATTGTTGTTGCTTTTTTATTCCTACTTTGTATATCTCCCTAAGAAACGCGCCATGAGGATTAAAAAGGCAGCGGATAGTGCTGAATGTATCGGGTGTCTCATAGACACCAGGTGTATGCGTACGGCACCAGACAACTAAACCAAACGTTTAGATACGTGCGACGGATTTAAGCCTCGGATCATTAAATCTAAAGCCCATATAGGTGCGTAGCGACGCTACGAGCGATTCGTGATATTTTGTAACGCCCTCGTAGCCTAGCTCCAATCCTGTCAGCGGCGCAACGTCCGTCGCCCGCTCAACCTGGCAGGAACTACGTGCACCATCAGTCAGACAGGCTCACCTAGAAGGCAAGGCCTGTCCGTCTCCACCCTAATACGTCATCACTAGTGGGCCCACGCAGCGCTCCCTAGCTGGCGTCGGCAGCGCAGCCAGTGCGACGTTGCGGTGACTCTCCTCGAGCTCCAGCGTGTTTGCCGCTTGGGGTGCACTAACGATGATGTCACGCGCAGGCCTTGTCCTCCTGATGGTAATGGCCTAACCCGGTGCCCGAGCAAGGGCCGTGATACTTTTTTTTTATTATTAACCGCGGCCGTGCCGTTGGGCGCCCCTCTCTCTCAGAGACCTGAAGCTCGACAACCTGTGCATTGATTCGGAGGGTCACGTGCGCATAATCGACTTCGGTATGTGCAAGCTGAAGGTGTACCGCAAGCAGCCCAGGGCGTTCTGCGGGACGCCGGAGTACATGGCGCCCGAAGTAGGTGCCACGACGTTCGCACGACGTTCCCACGACCTTCCCACTACGTTTCCCCCAACAAACCCTCGAGGTCCTTTTTTTCCCAGAGCTCTCTCACGTTTATGGTTTCTGCTTTTGGGCAGTGTGAACACCAGCACTCACTAGCTTGGTTTGGTGTGGGCGCCAGAACACACTAGCCTGGTTTGGTGTTCGCACCAGAACACACTACACTGGTTTTCGGCGTGCACGCCAAAACACACTAGGCTATTCTGATGTTCTTACCGAGATACACTAAGCTCGGCTGGTGTTCACACCAGAAAACATCGGAACACACCAAATCAACCTGGAGGATTTTCTGACTAGTTTGAATTGTAAACAAAAAAACATAGCAATTGTTTACGTGAAAGATAATAACACATCCACATGAAACATGGGTGAATACCGGAAACCATAAACATAGGGAATCTCCATATTCTGTCTTTACAACGTAATGCTATGGGCCAATGCCAGGACTATAGCCTGTGATAGTAATGACACGCAGGGATGGTTACTCGGAGCCCGTAAGTTATAAACCGCCGATCAGTCATAATCGGGGGCGAGCCTGGACACGGAAATGACTTCTTGCCTTTTTTTTTATTTTCGTCTCTCAAAATTTGCAGTTTGCCTATAATCGCGGTTTTGTTACAAGTCCTGTAAAATATTTTTCATGCAGTTAACAATATTTTACATTTTTTCTAGTCATCACCAGTCTTGGTTGTTCTAGTTATTGTGCACAAGAATACTTGTAACCAAATTTGTATATTATCAAGATTTATAATATAAAGTTAATATTTATTTCTATGATTTTAACATTAAGTTATTGGTAATATAATTTTAATTTTTGTTGATATGTTAGGAAGGAGTAAATAACTGCATCAGTTATTATGGTGAAACATAGCCTGCCTTTTGACACTGGTGTTACATGTGTTCTCGTTTTATGTTGTTTCTTTTACATAAAAACGTGTTTGTTTTGTTTTTTAGCCGATAGTTCTGGCACACAAACACTGCATACCGCAGGATTTAGCTTCAGCCTGCGTTCAGGGCTAAGTAGATTCAGCAAAAAATTACGCTACTGAAATTTTTGTTTTGTCTGAATCGATTTTTGATTATATTTTTTTAACAAGTATTTTTGACGAATCTGTTTTTGCCGGATCCAGTATCAACCACGGTATTCTCTCCGCCCCTCCGAGAAAGCCAAAACATTGCCTCCACGCGCTTCGCACTGAATTTCAAGGCAATCCAACCGGGCTCCGGAGACCACCATCGCTGCTGTCTTACGTCGCAAACTAAAACACACTCGTAGCGTGCCCCAGACCTTGCCACGACCTCACCGGGGCTCGCAACTCCCTCCCACCCCTTCACCTAAGCAAAATCCCCGCAAACATCCGAAAAAACTCCCTGCGCACTAACCTCGCAGCACGCATATCCGCACGAATGCCAACAACGTTTCTTCCCCCCCATCTAACGCCATTAGTCTGATTCGCCTCATTTACCGAGCGACCTCATCGCAAACAGCCGTCACAAAAGCGGGAGCGCGAACATTCGCCGGGTCCCCGCGTTCCCTTCTCTCGAAACAGCGGCCAAGAAACAGAGAGAGTCTTGGCTTCGACCCGAAGCGGGCCAACAAGGTCGGCCGACTATAAATATGAAATTTCCCTCTGTTTGGAACGGATCTTCCCCCGCACTGAGCGCGGGGGTGAAACTCCCAGAATAAGTGCGAACAACGCCACGATGAACGATGGCGTTCTGTGTTGTTTTCTAGACGCTGGATTGTTCGAAAATCCAGGAACGCAGTTCTTTCGTCTCTCCTTCTTTCAAAGTGGAGAGAAAACAAAAAATTAGCGCACCGGGCGTTTTGCCACACGTGTCGTATATCTTCGCATAAAAGCGCGCGTTTTCTCTAGCTGTTTAGTAAACAAACGAGTCTGCCTCCCCCTTAAACGGTTTCAGAATCAATCACCGCGGGCGAGTGATCGAACCTGCATTTTGTCGAGGTCACGAAAACAAATTTCGAGCCCAAAATATATCTGCGTCGGAGTTCTTAGCGCGCCACGCCTAATGGCCCGTACGCACATTCGCGTTTGAACGCGTTTGAGTGCGTTGCGACGTCCTTGCGGCCAGGAGCGGTCGCTTGCTGAGCGACGTGCGCCTTCCCGCAACGCTCCGTAGCGCGACGCAAGCGAGTAGAGACTCGCTCAACGTTCCGAAGCGTTGCGGTGCGTTCGACCAATCAGAAACCGAGAGAGGAGAGGAGGGTGACGTGTGCGCTCGCGCCACTCGGCCGACTCGGCGAGACGTATCCGGTTCTCCGCTCGCAGAACTTGCTTTTTTTGTTTTGGGGAGCGGTGGGGAATGGTATTTTCCGAGGCTGCGATGGTTCAAGCTTGACAAAACGTCGGGGAAGCCAGCGAGATTGTCCCAAGATCGAACACTTCGACGCTGTCGCTGTGCGCCGCCATGTTGCCGTAGATTTCTCTTACTATTGGTGATCCGCTAGCGACGGTAGCGCGTTCTTATTGGCTCTTGACTGCGGTTGACCACGTGTCAACACAACTGTGCGTACAAGTTCGGCGCAAGCGCTCTTCGCAACGCAACGCGTCCGCTTGCCGCTACGGAACGCTCCGCGCTCAAACGCGAATATGCGTATGGATGGGCCTTTGGACTGTTTCGCGCACTTGGGACTGTTCACGACCGTGCACCATAAAACCTCCTAAATCCTTCACGATGAAAGAATATACTAGCGTCGTCAATCGGGTAGCCGTGGAGCATTTGACATTTCCGTATAGTATTTCCTGTTTTTAGGCGCCCGTTTCCGGCTTGAGTGGCGTCGCCGTCGCCGTCGGCGTAACCGCGCGGTACATTATGGGCAATGTTCCATAACGCACCGCACGAGGCCTTCGTGACGTCACGTGT